GCTATTGGTTACCCATTCTACAATGCCAAACCCTAAATACTAAAAGCCAAATCCCCATAGCGTGTCTCTGAACACAAGCACAATATACACATCTCTGGCTGTCCCATTGGCAGCCATTATGTGCAGAGTTTCACCAAGACAGAGACAGGGAGGATCAGCGTGAGCACAAGATGGTGAAGCTGATCGCCGCTGTTCACACAGGTATTCTCCAAATCCAAAACCAACGCGTTGATGTTCCACACTTGGTGGGCCGGGGTGCACATCTGTTCGGTGGCACAGCCACGGGCCAGTGTTGGGGAGGGGGCGGGCCCTGGGGAAAAAAAACAACTGAGTTCATTAATTTGTTTAAATATATTCCTCCGTTCCCGCAAATGAGAAAAATCCACGAAGCGTCTTTGCAGAGCCAGATATTACCTTGTAGAAGAAGCAGTGACATCATCAGTGGGCGGAGACAAGACCAATCACTATTAATTTTTGTTCCTTCACTGGTAGCTACATAAAAAGGGATGGGGGTGGAGCTAGGCCGGCACAGAGTAATTAGGCGCTCCCAGGGGGTGGAGCTGAGCCAGCACAGAGTAATTAGGCACTCCCAGAAGAGGAGGGGGCTGGGCTAGATAATTGACTCTCTTCTACCCTGGCAGCTACATAAAAAGGTAGGGGCTGAAGAGCTGGGCCAGCAAAGACAATAATTAGACACTCCTGATGTGCAAGGAGGGAGGGGCTGTGATAGACAATTGGCTCTCTTCTTCCCTGGCAGCTACATAACAGGGAGGGGTGGGGGAGCTGGGCCAGCATGGACAGTTTAGACACTCCTACAAGAGCAGAAGGCTATGATGTGCAAGGAGGGAAGGGGCGGTGATAGGCACCTCTCTTCCTGGCAGCTACATAAAGGGGAGGAGCTTAGCCAGCACAGAGTAATTAGACACTCCCAGAAGAACAGGAGGCAATTGACTCACTTCTTCCCTGGCAGCTAATTAAAGGGGCGAGGCAGAGGAGCTGCACAGAGAAATTAGGCACTCCCGGAAGAGAAGTTGGTGACAGGCTCTTCTTTAGCGCCTGGTTCCTCCTCGACACGTGGGTTAATTTTTATCAACGGCCACACCTACCTTTATAAGTGGTGAGCTGGGTGATGCACATCGTCTCGTTGCCCACGCACTGCATGACCGTCTCTTTGGGACATGACTTGGCGTTTTGGACGTAGCAGGCCGGGCAGTGCAGGCCGTTCTTCTTCCCGGAGATTTCTGGAACTATCAGAGAAGAACAGATTAATATAAAAAGATTTACTGGAAAAGTCTTATTCCCCTCCCCCTCAGATGATTTCTCTCTTCTGTTTAGATTCACGATCAACAGCATCTAGGAGTGCCCACAGCCAGTCTGAAGGTGCCCACAGACATGGAATCTCATGTATGGATAGTCCAATGAGGGTGCCAGACCAATGAACCTGAAACCTTTAATAATCAAGACAATATAACACACATCCAACGCGTTTCGCAGGCCCTGATGAAAGAGAGCCTGGAAACCTCAAAACGTGTCGGATATTTTATACCGCCTTTTTTAACAGACCCCAAAACTAATAGTTTCTGGGCTCTCAGTTCATTGGTCTGGCCCCCTTATTGGGCTTTAGTTGCATGGGCCTCCAATTAATGAAAGGGGCGGGGCCAGAGACAGTCAGGCTAGGTAGGAAATAGCTAGATAATGCTGGGCGTCCCTCACCCAGGAAATGAGGCGGGCCCTATCTTACTTGCTGCAGCTTCTAATGCACATTGTGGGAAGCTCCGGTGTGCAGTGATATCAGAAGAAATCATTCCAGTCCAGGAGAGGAGCCGGTACAACCGTGCAAGACTGAAGGGGAGGTTATAGGGGAGTTCAGTGATTGGGACTTACGGACGGGCTCGGGAGGGGTGCAGTTGTCGGTGTCACAGCAGGTGATGCTGCTCTGGAACATGCTTTGTGGGAGAGTTATGCTTCCCGTCTTAGAGCAGAGATCCCGCACTCCACATTGTCTGATGTACGCGCTCGTAATCGCCATCTCACCTTCAAAACAGAAGAGGAAGATGTCATCAAAATGATCAATTCTATCTATCTATCTATCTATCTATCCTATATTACCAAAAGTATTGGGACGCCTTTACACGCACATGAACTTTGATGGCATCCCAGTCTTAGTCCGTAGGGTTCAGTATTGGGTTGGCTCTGCACTTTGCTGCTATAACAGCTTCAACTCTTCTGGGAAGGCGTCCACAAGGTTTAGGAGTGTGTCTATGGGAATGTTGGACCATTTGTGAGGTCAGGTACTGATGTTGGAGGAGAAGGCCGGGCTCGCAGTCTCCGCTCTAATTCATCCCAAAGGTGTTCTATGGGGTTGAGGTCAGGACTCTGTGCAGCCAGTCACGTTCCTCCCCCCCAATCCCCCCCATCCATGTCTTTATGGACCTTGCTTTGTGCACTGGTGCGCAGTCATGTTGGAACAGGAAGGGGCCGTCCCCTAACTCCTCCCACAAAGCAAAATGTCTTGGTGTGCTGATGCCTTAAGAGTTCCCTTCACTGGAACTAAGGGGCCAAGCCCAACCCCTGAAAAACAACCTCCCCATAATCCCCCCTCCACCAAACTTTACACTCGGCACAATGCAGTCAGGCAAGTACCGTTCTCCTGGCAACCGCCAAACCCAGACACACCCATCGGATTGCCAGACGGAGAAGTGTGATTGGTCACTCCAGAGAACACGTCTCCACTTCTCTAGAGTCCAGTGGCGGCGCGCTTTACACCACGGCATCCCACGCTTTGCATTGCACTTGGTGGTGTAAGGCTTGGATGCAGCTGCTCGGCCATGGAAACACATTCCATGAAACTCTCTACGCACTGTTGTTGTGCCAATCTGAAGGCCACACCAAGTTTGGAGGTCTGTAGCTATTGACTCTGCAGACAGTTGGCGACTTCTGTGCACTGTGCGCTTCAGCATGCGCTGACCCCACTCTGTCATATTACGTGGCCTACCACTTCGCGCTGCTGAGTTGCTGTTGTTCCCAGTTGCTTCCACTTTGTTATAATACCAGTAACAGGTGACCGCGGAATATTTAGTAGCAAGGAAATGTCACGGAACACCTGAATCCAATGATTTGGAGGGGGAGGGGCCCAATACTTTTGGCAATATAGTGCATCTTTCTATCCAGGCTGAGCACGCTATGTACTGGCAGGAACATGTCCCTTGACATTAACATTGTATCCCAGCAATGTATACTCTCAGTGAGATGAATGATTTCTTTTGTATTTACTTACTTGTATTTGGCCTACTTGCAGTGGTTACCACGCGGGTCAGCAGGCAGGAGTAGTTCCCGGAAGGACAGACTGCTGAAGAGCCATTGCAGACACTGTCCCCTCCACCAGAACATTGTATACAAGTCAGGGAGTAGCCTGCAGACAGATAAACGCTGTTATTAAAGGGCACGCAGACCATAACAATTCCATGGAAAGCCTTTTGTTGTATCTGTTTGATAAGTGTAAAAAAACAAACAACTGCTGATCCTGCCAGAAAACCAGAGGTGCTGATAACTTCCTGTGCTGTCTGTGCTGCACTGAAACCTCAAGCAGCCTTATCACCCCTGTCCAGTTCTGCCCATGGACTACAGAACTCCTCCCCTATATTGTGGAGGAGAGGGGGAGGTGTTTTGTTTTCCCATTCTATGATGACAACGCTGCTCCTCCACGGATACAGTACAGAGTTGTCACCTTGGGACAGGAAGTGTGTCACTGGCGGGATCTGCAGGTAAAAATGAAGTGAAAACAAAAACAAAAAAACGAATGCAGCCGCCACATCTCAGGACCGGAGGGGGGAGGCGGCTGCAATGTGACAGTTTAATTTTTGGGTTTAAACTGTAAAAAGTTCTATTTGCAACACTTACTAATGTCATTCCCAGCCAGAGATGTACCACCGCTGCCCCCTCCTGGCTGACAAAGGTACTGAGATACTTCACCATCTTCATTTCTGATTAGTTTATTGTTGTTGATTCTGCACTCCGCCTCTCTCTCCATTATTATTTTACATTTCTTATCCAGCTGACACAGAAAGATCAGAGGATCGTAAATGATAATGTGTGTTCTGGCTTAGGAGAGAGAGAGAGAGAGAGAGAGAGAGAGAGAGAGAGAGAGAGAGGGAGAGAGAGAGAGAGAAGAGAGAGAGAGAGAGAGAGAGAGAGAGAGAGAGAGAGGAAGAGAGATGGAGAGAGAGAGACATGGGAGAGAGAGATGGAGAGAAGGGAGAGAGAGAGAGAGAGAGAGATGGGAGAGAGAGAGAGAGACATGGGAGAGAGAGAGATCGAGAGAAGGGAGAGAGAGAGAGAGAGAGAGAGAGAGGGAGATGGGAGAGAGAGAGAGATATGGGGGAGAGAGAGCCTCACTTCTTGCAGTACAGAAGAGGGCGCTATCATACTGGGACCACCTAAACATCAGCAGCCCCAACTCATACCACCATAAAGCCCTACTGGCCAACAAGGACCACCCCAAACCATGTGGGCTGCAACAACTCGTATCCACCTTGTTCATCCAAAGCTCCCATGAATGCAACCTGACCAAATATCAAATAAAGGACATAATTAATGATTCCAGGGAAAACTATATCAGAGAATGGAGACATGATATAGCAAACTCCCAGAAACTCGTCATTTACCAATCATTACAGAGGGAATACAAACTGGCCCCATACCTGGAGGTACTACAAGACCCCAAGGACAGACAAATCCTGAGCCGGTACAGACTGAGCGCCCACAGCCTGGAAATAGAATCAGGGCGGCATAGACAGACCTACAAGCCCAGGGAGAGTAGACTGTGCCAGCGTTGTGACCAGGGGGCCCTGGAAGATGAGGTCCACTTCCTCCTACAGTGTCCCAAATCCTCAGCACTAAGGGACACTTCCAGAGACTCTCCGCTCTCATCCTGAACTTCACCTCTATAGAAGAGACAAGGAAACTCTGCATCGTACTGGGAGACGAGGAGCCGACGGTGAAAATATCTGCGCAATACGTCACAGAGTGTCACTGAAAGAGAGAGAGAGAGAGAGAGAGAGAGAGAGATCACATTTACAAGCCTAAAAGTAAAAAGAACAAGCAAGATGGATAGATAAATAGATATTTCTTGTTTAAGAGAAGGGAAAGTAAAGAAGTACTGGAGGAAAGGTGAAGAGAAGCGAGGGAGGAAGGAAGAGAAAGGAAAGGCATGGAAAGGAAGAGAAAGGAAAATAAAGCAATGGAATGGGCAGGCGGGGGAGAAAGGAAGGAAAGCCAAAGGAAGACAAGAGGGAAAGAGAAAGGGAGGAAGGAAGGAAGGGGGGAGGAAAGGGAAGGAAAATAAAGGAAAGGAATGGAAAGGAAGAGAAAGGAAAGAAATTGAATATGAAGGAGGGAGAAAATAAGGAAGGAATGAAAAAAGGGCCAAAGAAAGGCAGGAGGAAAAGAGGAAGGAAGGAAGGAAGGAAGGAAGGAAGGGGGGAAGGAGGGAATGAAAGAGAAGGGAAGGAAAATAAAGGAATGGAAAGAAAAGGAAAGGTGATAAAGGAAAGAAATGGAATACGAAGGAGGGAGAAAATAAGGAAGGAACTAAAAAAAGGGCCAAAAGGAAGACAGGTGGAAAGGAGAAAAGGAAGAATGAAGGAAGGAAATAAGAAGGAAAGGGAGCAGGAAGGAAGCTGTCATATAAACAACAGATATTTCATCTCTTGCCGTTCGGCTGTCTCTGTTTGTGGTTCGGCAGGTGCGTAGTTTAGACACAAATAAAAGAGAGGCTTGTTGAACATTGTTTGTCTTTGTCTGCAGTTTCTGTGTACACTGAATGACATATAATATAATGCTCGGTATCTATTACATTGACCTGTCATTCAGCAACATCCAGTAATGATAATGCCGTGAAGTGGGACGAGGGTAGGGTTGCCACCTGTCCAGGATTCACCTGGACAGTCCGGGTTTTGAATGCTGTGTTCGGGTTTCATGGCAGCAGAAACCCGGACACAAGATGTCAGGCAGACAGGGGTAACCAAAATTAAGATAGGGGCTACTGGCCCCCCACTGAAAATAGTCTCAATTGTGATATTTACATATGAGTGGGTTGCCTCTATTTACATATGAATAAGCCGCGACTCATTCTCCTCCAAAAAAATGTCTGTGTGTCGCTAGAGTGTTCGGGTTTCACTTGAAGAAAAGGTGGCAACCCTACATATGAATAAGCCACAACTCATTCTCCCTGAAAAAAGTCTGCGCGTTGCTTAAATGTGTTTGGGTTTTGCTTGAAGAAAAGGTGGCAACCCTAGAC